TAAAAAAAGGAAAAGAATGGAAAAATGCAAATCCAAGCAGGCACAACTTTTCACGATCAGCCTTTTCGTACAGTCATTCTTTTTGTACAGTGCAATGTAGAAATCAAATGCTCCTATAATCTTCTGCACAGGTATAAATGATGTACACACTACGGATGCAGTGGAGAGTATGTTCATGCTGCAGTGTTATCAGTCTAACACTAATGGAAATGTGCATTCACCTGGCACGCTCTGAAAAAGCCAGTGTAGGATGACCTGGAAAATGAAGCAGTGACCTAAACTACTGATGGTAAAAGTGGGACAGAACAGCCCAACCCAACCAAATCAAATCTGAACTGAAAGCTTAACTCAGCGCAGCCTTCTGCAGCTTTCTGAAGACTTGGAGAACGTGGTGTCTCTTAATATTTTTTTTTTCTTTTCCTTATGCCTGCAGTTCTTGCTTTCAGTTAAGACAGGAAATGCCTAAATCCTGAAAAAAAGGCTGCTCTTGTGATATTTCCAGTCCAACCCTACTGCGCCAAGGGGCCTGGATAAAAGTCTGCAGAAGCATCTGAAATGTTGGCTGCTTACTGGGGCAGAACTTCCATGATGCTGGCACCCTACCCCTCCCTGAAGCACCACCCTTGCCTGCTCTAAGCAGAGTTGCACTGCCAGCTTTTATCAGCCTCGAGTGTAACGCGTTGGACAAAATCACCAGCCCGGTTTCAGAGAAGCTGTGAAAAATCTGTAATTCTCTGTCACCAAAGGCATGATGGGAACATTTCTGTGAAAATTACTCAAACGCAATGAGGAGCAACCCTTAAGAGAGACACTGCATTTCACATTCAGTGAGTGCAACTCCACAAACTTAGTGATTACTTTTTAGCTCAGGTTGCTGAAAAAATATATCAGCTTTTGAAAGCATTTTAGTTTTGTCCTAAGCCATGACAGGGAAAGGCAGTTGAGGTGCCTATTCCTTTAACTTACGATTAATAAAAAGGATGCAAAAACCTTGCTGGAGCTTCTCTGAGAATCCCACTGTAACTAAGAAGGCTCAAGGGAACAACGTTTAAAATAATGATTGGTATCAACTGTCATCACATTCCACAACTGAAAACTAAAAAGGTCAGACCTACATTTTTCTTGGCCCCACTTTAAGGGCAGTCATTTTTTATTTTGCTAATAATAAAAAAAAGAAGCTTTTGAACGTTCCCCCTCTATGTAAATTCAGGACACCAGCCATGGTAGACCACAGCGGCAGAAGTATTTATCTTCCACAAGCTACTTTTGGCATATCCATCATTTGTGGGTTCTAAAACACAGCTGCATTTATTCTCTTATACATTATCAACTAAAATATCACACGAAAGCATAGAAACACAGTTGTAATAAAAGGATGGACCAGAAGTTGAGACTTCATATTGTGGTTTAAGTTTGGATGACAAGAGAATAACTAAAATTAAAAGTGATGGCCTTTTAACAAGGAAATCATAAGCCTCCTGCTAGGCAGAGGTGGGCTATGAGTTATCACTGTGCCATGTGTAAATTACAGAAAACAAAGTTAAACAGATCCAAACCAGAGGGAAATCTTGTTATAATTTGCTCTGGGAGAAGTAACAACCTATTGTTACAGTTTCTTTTAAAATCCTAAACCCTGACCCAAAAATCTCACTCCAGCTAAAAGACAGAAGCAGCTAGGGCATGAGATTTAAAGCATGTAGTGAGAAATCGCTGTGTGTGCAAACCACTGTCCACATGACCAACAGGCAATCTGCAAAAAGGGACGAAGTCAGGGATCAGTTATTTCTCATTTCTCCTTACGGGCCAGCTTCCTTAGAAGAATAAAGTAAGAGCAGGTGGCAGCAGAAGACAGGTAAAAAGAAACGAAAGTGGAATCTGCCTGCAGCATTACAGCTGGGCCCCAGGAGAGCCCAGAGCACCCTGACTAGGAAAGCACAGTGCCCCAGCAACACCTCTGTAAAGAGAAGGATGGCAGAGAAGAGTCATCAGCAAGAAGTGGCTGGAGAAGGCTTTTAGACTTAGGTGAAGATGCTTCTGGAAAATGTGAAGGAGAGAGTCTCAGGACAGGATTAGGATCATGAATGAAAGATGAAGAAAATCTAGGACTCCAGAGTAAGTGAAGAAGAAAAAAAAAAATCCAGGTAACTGCAAAACTGCACAGCTGTGACAGGACACGCACTGAGAGCTCAAACACATGGCTGCTTTCACACCACGGGGCTGCAGCAGAATACATCGGTCATGTCTAGGAAGGCATGAATAACTGCTTTCTTTGTAAGGACAAGGTACAAGGGAACCCATAACAAAGTTTCTGGCTCAGCTCTATTATATTCTAAATATACTCTGAACTAGCATGCTGTGCTCCTGCCAGTCCTCCCTGCTTGTTCTGTCAGACTGCTGCTGAAGAATCCTAAAAACTTAGAGACTACATTAGCTCATGGTTGCCACAGCATGATTTTGTAATGCTAAGAGATCATTTTCTTTATAGCTTCATGCTGAATCCTCTTTAGAGGTGGCCTCACATACGTTCATTCTGATATGCTGACATTCAACAGGCACATTTCATTGCATCACCCTCTTTGACAATCACACTTTATTTTTATATCTTCGCTACTACTCTGCCTGAATTCAGGGCCACCAATTTGGAGAGTGAAATAACCGCTCACAGTAGGTTGACACTTGACTTGAGAGGCTAGAGCAGTGAAAAGTTTAAAGTACAGTCACCATAACTATGCAAACACCTGTTTGGCAAGAGGTTTCTTCTGTGAGTCAGTGCAGGTGTAAAGATTTTATTACTCATGATCACACCTGTTGGTGCATGTGTGCCAAAAATCAGGAATAGCTAGATGGAGGAAGAAAAATAAGAAGCGATGGGGCACACTCTGCTCTCGGAGCAATATAAATCCAAAGTAACTTCAGTAAGGTCATCTAAATTATTTTAAACTAACATTACTACAAATGAGTGCAGAATTTGGCTAAGCACAACAGAATACTGTTCAAAATCTCTCATGAAAACCTTATAGAAAGTTACTACTTTCTAGAAAGTTATATACTGTATATTGAATATATTAGATACACATATGCATGAAACATACACAGGGGATACAAGCAATTGTGTAGATGCCCTAACATAGAAGGGAGAGGAACAAGTGCAGCTGGATTTAAGTTATGCTTTCATCCCCAGCACTTAACTGTTGCAAGGCTTACCCCCATCAGCTTTTAAGGGGACTCACAAAATCCAGATGTTATTTCACACACATACACGTGTAAAATATCACAACTTATCCCCACAGATTCAGCTAAGCTCAGAGATCAGCAGATTTTTCTCGCTTTCTTTACGCATTGGTCTCGCCTCCCAAGGAAATCCTGGCAACCCTACAAAAGTACCTCTTAATTTTTCATACAACCACTACATTCTTGAGGTAACAGCAATGACTGGGATAAAACTGAATTTATTTAATTTACAACTGCTAAAATGCTTCCACATGCATTAATTAGGGCTTAATTAGGCTAAATTAAGATCCCTTTGCATTGCTTGAATGATATAGGGACACTATAATAGAGTAGCTCTCTGTCATCCAGAACAGGAGCTCCAGAAGCAAAGCTGCTGAGATGTAAAATTAGGAACAGCTCACAACACAACTCATCTCCCAAGGAGGGCCAACTGTCAAAGCAAACTGCAGAGCTACAGTCGCTCCAGATGATCTGCAAAATATGCCGGAAATGTTTCTTCACTGTAAAAGACAATGTACTTACGTTGGCTCTTCTGAGACTGTTCTGGTCTCTTCCATTTCGTGCGCCTGTTTAAACCATGGCACTTTTGCTTCCACAGGATTTTTTTCTGGTAGAGAGGAAAAAAAACATTCAGTACTTACTCCAGAATCAAGGTAATATGTGGATGTTAGCATTCACCTTAGCACTTCACACTTTACATTGCCTATTGATCTAATGCTTTTGAATAACGATATATTGAATAAAACATAATTTACTAGAAAATTTCTTCATGATGTTTGAGCTCCATTCTGACACGCCTTTTTACTGAGAGGGTACCAGTAATCCAACTTCCATTCCTGTTCAATCTTTTACTTCCTTCCCACATCTTTCCCAAATGCAAGCAGTTTCAAGTAGATTGTAGCTTATATCTCAATGTAATGGATTATTGTCATAACTTAAGTTTACAGCTGAAAAAGAAGCCAGAGCATATCAAACCTACATTGCTCTCTAGATAGACTGGCTTCATTAGAAAATTTTCACGGTAATTTTTTTTTTGCTGAGTTAGCCAGCTTTCCCAAAATTGGAAATTAATTTAAAAAAACAACACCAGCTTCTTTTATCTGTCTATACATCCTACACTTCTGTGATGGTTGTCCTCAGAGTACTGTAAGCCAATTGGGGATCTGTGCCTCCAAACTTAAGTAAAACCCCAGAAGAAGGCTCTTAAAATTTCAGTGCTAGTTTCTACTTCATGGCTTAACCCTCAATAGTTTTCTGCTTGAAGAATTCTCTAGAGTCTGAAAACATCCTAAAGAGCAACATAGGGTTGTCTACAGAGAGCTTTTGCTTTTTCTATGTAAATCTTTATGGTGAGTTGTGAAGGTCTGAAATACAGCCTTTCAAATAAAAACGGAAAGAATGGGAGTAGCACCCCCTAAAATTTCTGGGCCCAGAGGGACAGAAATGAGCAAGGGAAAAGATATACTAGTTTCCCCTCTCATCTTTGTCTTTTCTTTTCACCTTCCCACCTACTGTTTTAAATCTCACCAACTCTTTTAGAGAATATTTGTCAATTTACATCATTGTTAAAGACCTTTTAAATATGCAGAAATGGAGAAGAGAGAGAGAAACCGGTTTGATTATAACCTAATGAACTGATGACGCCCACTGAAAATGTTGACACATTTAATGAGATGCAAACGAACAAGATCCCAGGCAATACGTGTAGAGTATCATTCCCATTTCAAGTATTATTGAACAACTCCTCCTCCACATGTTGAACTCATTAATTCTGGTTTTCCCAATTTGACCAGGCCATATAGATTTAGTTAGCATATTCACCTCATGACAGTCTGGCCACATTATCAGAAAAAAAATATCAGCAGGGCACTTTTCCTAGCACCAATAATTAAAATGCTTATTTTTGCCAAGACTGAAATAAGTCCTAGTAAATTCCAGCTTCTGGCATTTCTGAAAAAGGTTACCAGGGACTTTTAATTCTCTTAACAAAAATGTGAAACAATAACAGACCCAGACAAAATTCCAGTTACCTTTTGGCTTGTAACATGGTATTGGCACGATGCACTCTTCTTTTATGTGTAGTTTAAGTTGTGGATTACAGCCACCGACATGCTGCCCACGGTGGTCGATACACAGCACTACTCGGTAACGCAAGCCTCGGCCACAGGTCACTGTGCACTGCAGGAGACAATGCAACCATCTTACGCTGCTTCTTTTTTATTATATTTACAAATACTCTTAAAAAGCAAGTTAGAAGTACTGATGATGTGTTCACTAAAGTTTTTCCACAATCCATCAGGTATCAGAGATATATGAATTTGTCCCTGCATTGCTAGGTGAATACAGAAAAGGTTGATGCTGGAAAAAATGTCTAAGTTTTGGGAATGCAAGTGATTTCTCGGGGTTCTGTAAAGCTTATCTGATTGGCAACAGTCTGAAACAGAGGTGGCTATGTACGGAGAATATGCTCTCTCACAGTGGTCATTTTCAGTTAAAGCTGGGTCAGACGTGCTGCAAGAACAGTTTCTTCGGTATATGTCAGTGATGTCATTTGGATGAACTAAGGAATTATAGAAGTGTTGAGCTATCTGACTGTATCAGACAACTGCAGCCAAGATAAGTTGGCTTTATGTTCTTGTTACTATAATGAAAGGTAAGAATGCTGGAAAATCACCCTTGCAGACATGTCAGCCCCTAGACAGACATGCCTTTAGCTATTATATGCAGTGAAATATTACATTTATCAAGAACTGAGAGACAAACGACCTCATTGCAAAGGGGCCTGACCTCTGGCTCTAATTTTTCCTCTGTGTAAAGCAGGAATTCAACAGGCATAAATAATTCTATATGCATTTTTCTCCACACAGACATGTTAACATTTTGATTATCAGGCCAAATTACTTAGCACAAACTTCTCCTAGTAAGTACAACGAATTATGCTTGCAGGGTTATATTTTTCTAATAGCCCTGTGCTCACAAATACATAGTAACACAAGACTAGAGGCTTTCTTTAGAAAACAAGAATAAAGGTCCAAATTACTTTTCAACTTACTTGAGACCATTCCATTGCCACCCATTTAGGACAATCAAACAGATTGCAGGTTTGAATGACTTTGGGCTTGGGGGCATACATGCATTTCCATTCTTCCACTTGCAGTATCTCTCCATGAATGGTCTCCTCCACACACACAAAACTTCTCCTCTGAATACCACCTCCACAGGAAACTGAACACGCAGTCCAAGGGTTATGTTCCCACCTGGAAAAAGAACTCATATATATTAAAAATAAGGCTATTTTTTATTCCGCTAACCTCTCTTAAAAGTGCAAAATACTGAATCCAACCTTAATGGCATTAAAACGCACTGATAGTTTGGTTGCTGGATTCTTACCACACGCTGAATATAAATACATTGAATTACAGAGCTACCTTGCATTATCCCAGGCTTAAATTCATGTCCACAATGAGAAGAAAAATAGAACTATAAGTTTAAGTACATTTCCCAAAATAACTGAGAATCTTATTCTCATACATGAGTTAAAGACCCTAGATATACTGAGTTCGACTACTGGAATGATTTTACTTGCAAATAGTCTAAATCATCTAAACAGAATATTTTTCACAGTTAATTTACATGGTCACATATACACTTATTACCATTGTCAGAAACTGAGAAGCATATGTACTTGAGATTATATGAAATCCAAAGACAAAGACAGATCTGGCTGTGCTGACTGAGGGTGATATTACCCTCAGTTACTCATCGCTGCCCACATCATGCAGACTACTCTTCAAAAAATCTGTTCATGAAAGAATTTTTATGGAAACCTTAATACTTGCTTTGGGTAAACCCAGCCATTTCATTTCAAACCGTCTTCATCCATAAGGAGTGTGAACAAATTAAATTGTGACAGGTACCATTTTGCTGGTCGTCACTGCAGATCTGCAAGTGTTCCACCCTCATTAAAATGCTGTTGAATGACTTTGTATTCACACTTTCCAACTTGCTTCAAGCAAAAGGCAGCTGCCCATCCATTTCAGCTGCTTTGGCTAACCTAGCTGATTTCTCCTGAAGCAGGGTGACACACAGATTAAGAAAAACTTGCATAGCCCTGTCAACCAGCAGAGCTGTGGGGTAGTAGCCTCCAACAGAGGGATGACAAACAACCTGCTGGGAGGGAATGTCTTCAAAATGGACATCTATCCACAAACTTAGACCTAACTACAATAAAGATGGAAATTGCCGCACCATGTGAAGCAACAATTACATGGATGTTTTTAGGTTACAAACTCTGTTTCATTTATCTCTTGGTCTTAGCATGAATGTACATTTAAGCAATCACTTCTCAACAAAAACTAACTTCAATAATGTCCTGCTCCTGTCATGTTTGGAGATAACAAGCTTCTATCACAGCATTTGTCTATGGGTTCCACTGAACCCCACACAATTTTTCCTCACCCTTCACCTCCTATCTATTGCTTTCTTTCCACCACCCACCCAAATCAAAGCTAACCCCTGGGAAATGACTGAGTCCTGCAGCACATCTTATGGTTCATCAATATCTTGTTAGTTTAAAACTTACTACTACTACAACTGCAGGGGCTCAGAAAGGATCATGAAAAAAATTATATCCATTATGAACAATGGACTCAGCAAGTACTACAATATCCCATCAAAATCAATTCATCAAGAGTAACTTAGCTATCATAAAGGAAGTCATAATCTCAGAGTAAGTGAAGCAAAGGCATATAAATCAAAGGTAAATTTAAGTAATTGCTACCTACTTTCTATGATACAGCAGGTAAATCAAGGACACTTCCTATTTTAAGCAATTCATTAAACTGCCTACAAAAACATATTAACCATGCTTAAGCTCAACAGAAGAATGAGTATGAAACATACAGCAAGGCATGGAACATTAATCACAGAGAATATACTCAAAAGCATTCAGAATAAAGCTGTATGCCTAGATACTGATATCATATCACAAGTACAAAATACATTTGAAGAGCAACAGTTACACTTTTCTTTGACTTAAATGAACGGCCAGCATTAACTCATTTTCTTTAAAAAAAAGTCAGGAACTAAAGAGCAATTAACTGTTCAATGAATTAGCAGCTCATGGATTTATATGTATAAGGCTCACTGTGCTATATGTAATACTAGCCTCACAAGTGTTTATAGCATGGAGTTTTATAGTTGTTTTTCTTTATCTCATCAGTTTCGAACACACTCCAGATCCCATACTCCCATAAGCATTTTCAAGATGGAGTGAGGTCCATGGCTACTGGGGAAAAGGGGGGTCTTGGGCAAGCAGTCAAGGAGATACTTTCCAGAACCCACAGCTGTCAAGGGATCCTCAACAGTCCAACAAGTCTGAAATAAATGGAGGCATTCCAAAAGCTTTAAAAGAAAATTTTCATCCTGGGAAATTTTTCTATTTATTTCAAAAGAATTCTCCATCTGTAAAAATATCTCAGTGGGGCATTTACAACTCTAGCCACAGGAGAACTCTTTCAAGATCTTGCGGTGTGCACCATGACTTTCCCACAACTTCCTCGTGTGAATGGGAAAGCAGTGGTAAACGCCACAGGAGTGCAAAGCAGCCCTCCACATGGCCTTCATGTTATGTAGGAGGTGTGATGTATGACTGCTGGTCAAGGTGAAAGAGTCTGTACAGCTTTGGTCAAGCATATCTATAGTACTTTGGGTTTCCGCCTGCTTTGCAAGAACAGTCTTAAGTTAGCATGTAAGAAACAGGTAAGAATAGAAAAAAGTGGAAGAATGCCCAGCAGAACTGGCACAGACTAATGCGTTGCAGCTACTTAACAGGCAACAGCACAGACAAAATACATCCTGCTACACTGAAGCAAGACTTGCATCCGCGCTGGACCAGATTCACCTCGTGATGCAGGTATACAAACTGGCTGTTTCAGATGCTGTTTTCTTTCAGAAATTCCAGCAAGAAAAGGTGCTTTTACATCTTCGCTGTGTTTCTTTATGCGCCCTCCCAGTGGAACAGAGCCTGTTTCCTCCCTCTCCTTCCTGCTGGCACCAACTCTGAGCCCTGTTTGGCCTCTGCTGTCTTACAATTCTTACTCCTGAGCATCACCCAGGAAGACCATGATACCTTCTGACAGAACACACTGAGGTGTCAAAATGAGGTGGGCCTTTATAGTTCTCAGTGTTTGAAATAAGAGAACCTCCCCACAGCTTTATCTCAGACATATTCTATCTCACCACAGTGTCATGCAAATGTGCTGAGCACAGTAAAGCACAGAAAGGGGGATTAAATTTCTTTTCCGACTGGTCTCCAA